TTGGTAAAACTGGGTCTGATGTCAACTTGAGGAGTTCCTGTTTTTTAATACGCTCGTCTCAAAGGTGGACGCGTTGCGGTACAGCCTCCGCCCGTCCGTCCGTTCATACATTTTATTTCTTGTCCCATCCAAAACTTCTGTTCCACTTAAGATAGTTTAATGAAACTTGGTACACTTCTGCATCATCAGAAGACGGAGCGTCACAGACAGTTTTCATCACCGCAGCTTTAAAGGTCAAGGTCACAGTTTTGCTTCTTTCGGCTGCTCCCTTCTTCAGGGGTCGCCACAGCGAACTAACTTCCACGAAGACTTGATGATTGTTTTTACACCATCTGTCCTTCCTGACGCGACCACAGACCACCGAGCTACCACATCCCACTGTGTGGAGCAGAGAGCTGCTATCTAGGGTGCCCAGGGAGTTAAAGGCCTTGCTCAAGGGCCCAGAGTGGGGCAAATGAGGGTGGAGATAAGTGTGGGTTCTTCACCTTGCTCACCCACATTTTGATGTTGTTGGTCCAGGTAGTTGAACTGGCAACCTTCCTATCACAAGCCCACCTTCTGTGACCTCTGCGTGACCACTCCGTCAAAGGTCAAGGTCACAAATGAAGATCAAATATTAGAAAAGGTCTTCTCTTGTCCGGACCATCGGTACAGATTGCTGTATAGTGGTTGGTCAGCAGGCGTGTAACGTGTCGTATGCGTGTTCACAATTTGAAAACGGGAAGGGCGATTTTTTTTTTTTATTATGACCAAGTTTCTTCAGACGCTCAGGTAACTTGTTTTCTTTTCTGTTAAACATTTAAGGCGTGCTTGTTCTGCACGACTAATTAAGATGACTCACATTTACTAATTACAAGAAAAGCTTAATAAAAAATACTTTCTCAAACCAAGTGTTAAAAGATTTATCTCTGAGTTTCTGATGAAGCTGTAAACATAAAATTTAAATAATTAGAGCGGCTAAACTCTTAGCATTTTCTGATAATTTATTGATTCAAAGTTTTCCTAATTGTCTTATCATTCATTTTTCACACTCTTGTGATTTTATCCCCCGTCTGTTCCACACGATGATTCTTTCTCGCGCTTGCCCCTTCTCTGTCTGTCTCAATTTCTGTCTTCCGTGAGCACCCGCCCACGTTCTTCCACAAAACTAAACATGTGCACACATTAGCTGAAAAAGTTTGGCTCTCTCCTTGTCTTGTTGTTCAAGGTCTTGTCGAGCAGAGAGAAACGCCCCAGAGGAATATCATGGCGACGTGCGATGAAATTTTAATCAGGAGGAAATAGGGCGGCGCAGTCTTGTTTCTCTTTAGTATAAATTTGCACAAATGGAGTCCTGCTGCTTGTCAGGTTCTCGTATGACGCACCGGGGGCACCTGATCGTGAGCCAGAGCGGGAATGTGAGGTCGAGGGAAGAAGTGACAGGAAAAGATGAAGAACAAAATCTGGATAGATTTTTTTATTTTCATACGATTTATTCAGAAACTGTGTTTCTGTAGAATCGGAGGCCCGTCTGTCAGCCCCGTATCCTGAAGGTTTGTGGTGATTGCAGGAGATCAACGATGAAGATCTTTGAGTCAGAAATGTCTGAATACTGAGGGCTAAAGGAGGTGATTGTAATGTTAGACGTGTTTAGCAACATGCTAAGAGCTTTTCATTGGAAAATCACTGCAATGGATAATTTTTTAAGCCGTAATCAATACCATCATTATTTCTCAGTACTTAAACAACCCTATCGGAATAAACTCCAACAAAGTTCAGTCAGGTCCTCTGGACAGAGTCTTGTTGTTGAAACGTTTTGTCTTTTATCCAAAAGACTTCTTCAGTCTGAGGAGCTGCAACAAACTCAGTCTTATAAATAACATCTTGTCACAGTGGACCAACCAGTTTGCTACTGCCAGCCAGAACCAGCTGTTCACATGCTAAAGGAGGACCATCGGCCTAACAATAGGTGGTTAGTGCCCTGATGGGCCACTTGCTATTCACACGGGGCTGAGTGATGTTTGCAATAACAGTGTTGTAAGAGGGAGACTGTTGGACACGGAGGCTCCGCCCCTGTTTGATGATGAACGGGTTCTCTTCACAAAGATGGCCTCCTTCACTCTTCTCAAACCATCGTTCCTCTCTGTCCAGGATGTGAACATCTTCATCCCTGAAAGAGTGACCGCTGGCCTGGAGATGAGTGTAGACCTCAGAGTCCTGGCCTGATAATGTTGATCTTCTGTGCTGGTCCATCCTTTTGGCCAGTGGCTGTTCAGTTTCCTTGATATATGACTGATCACATCATCATCAGCAAACTGGTTGGTCCACTGTGACAAGGAGTTTCTTGCAGGGTTTAAAACTGAAGAAGTCTTTTGGATAAAAGATGAAACGTTTCAACAAGAAGAACCCGTCCAGAGGACCTGACTAAAGATTAGATTAGATTAGATTTGCCTACCTGGATTATTGCGCATGCATCAAGACATTTCAGAATAACTTCTTGTGTCAGCAGAAACAATGTTTTATTAGGGTCACCGAAACCTCTAAATTGTATTAATCTTGTTAAGCTTATTTGTAGCCCTGGCAGTACATTTTTGTTGTTCTGTCATCTTTGATGAAGAAATTTAGATGAAAAATGTTTCTAACTCGAAAAGTTCCAGGTGAAACTTTTGGAGGTTCTGCCATTTGACGACCATTTAAAGGTTTTGATTTGTTTCCATCACGTGTTGGGGATTTCTCTCAGCTACCACCATACCATTTCTTGCGTCCCCCCTGAGGAATGTTGGCGTCATTATGTGCTTGTGTGCGAGGTATTTTTCATTTTCATGCTTTTGAGCTTCAGCCAAAGATTAAAAGCATGTTAGGATTTTTTTTTTGCCTCCAAAACCTATGTTGTCACTTTCACCACTTATTGTCTGTCCAGACAGGTCTTCACTTGTAAATGAGTCTTTGGGGCTCAATGTGATTTATCTTTTTAAATAAATGTTGAATGAATGAATGAAAAATACTATTTTTCATTTCAATATGTCTCAAAATTTACTGGTACAGCCATTTTCTCCATTTAGCTTGTGGTCATCTTGGAGTTTTGATTATCGGTCAGTATGTGTTGGGGATCGCTCTCAGCCACGTGAACTTTGCAAACTTTAGGTTGTCCCACTCACGTGTTGTCTTTAGAAAGTAGATAACCTACAAACCAAGCTTTGTGTTGTGCTAAACTGTTTTTGTAGTCCTGTACGTGCACTATACGTGTGTGAATCATTTGTTTTTAATAAAGTAATGGAAGGAATGGGTTGTGAGTACTGATTTTAACTGATCAGGGGTCTGAACACCTACTGGTATTATTTAAGAAGGTAGGCACCACCAGAGGGGAAATTATAGTTTTCATCCGCAGGAAGTTTTAGAAAAAGTTTGTACTTTTCATGCAGTCCGTGATGCCGTTTGTACAAAGTGTTTTGTATAAAGTGTTTGCCTAATTGCCTCCCCCATTGAGCTAATTATTTCCCCATTGTGTTGTGATCTGCTAATTCACGATGCATAAATCCGTCGATGTGTGGAATGACTGAGTGAACGAAGTGACTTGGTATGCTGCGCTGCACCACGTCTGTCGGTGTGTGTGGCTGTGAGCAGAAACCCTCTGCAGAGCTGATTGTCGTAGCATTGATATTCCCCTCACAGGCTTGTCAAGCATGAAATAGAAGAGTACACTTTCTATGGATGAACTCTCGGCAGAGCGCTGTTAGATAGTAAGAGCCGAAGCTCTGGAGAAATGATGTTGCTGAAACAGATTCTGACTGAGGGCCAGGGGAAAATAAATCGTATTGTGTGTGCTGAATGGTTGTAAAACCAGAGAACATGTAGCTCATTATGATAAAAAGTGTCTTTCACATTCATTTCATCCACTGGGTTTTAAACGCGTTAAGGATTTATGGTTGGTGGCAGAAGCTCAAATCGTTCGGAGACTTTAGGAACCAACTGAGGCCCAAGCTGCGCCGCTCCAGACTTTTTTAAATTAACATTTTATCTCTAAGAAAACAAAAAGTGCTGTATCTGTTCAGATTAGAATGCAGAGTTTCAAACAAATACTGAGAAACTTTGTGCTGGTTGTGTGTAGAAGGTGGTCATTTTGATGCACAGCTGGAAAAAAGGAAAGAACCTTCCAAGATGGCCCCCGTCGGTTCTGCTAACACAAGATGATTTCATCTTTAATAGTCTTTTTTATTATTTTCTCTTGGTAATTATTCTTTCAACATCAGAGTCACAGTGTAAAGATTACATCTTTAACTAACTAACTGTATCAGACTGTTATACTGGAGTTATTTATTGATGGATTAGATTAGACGCCATTAAACTTGATTTGATCTGGATTAGACCACATCTTGCTTATAGCACCTCAAGAATACTTATAATAAATCACTGTTATATAAATAAACTTGAAAAAATGAATTGAAAGAATAAAAACGATATAATTCCTTGAATAAATGCATATTGTATGGAGGATTGAGGCAGCAGTGCAAAATATATAGATTTTTAAAATTCTGACTTTTAACATCATAAGGATTTTTTTGTTTTTATTACCACGGTCCTAATCCTGCTCTGTAATATCACCAACACATTACAAGGCAACATTTACACAAAGCTCTCAAGCCCTCTGTCAGCTCTTGGGGAAGACTCTCAGCTACCACCACAGCAGATTTATGCTCAATATCTGTAAACCAGATCGAGTTATAGACATTTTGTAATTGCTAATGTCAATGATCTGGGGCGGCCATGTTGAATTGAGTTCAATCTAAATGTTTTTTTAGTTGTAGATGTTTGTCCAATGATGAATTTCTGAGTTTCATGAGTCTCTGGTTCATGAGATGTTCTGCTCACAGACAGACTCAGGTGTTATCGCCCACCTGTGACTGCAGAAAGCTGCAGGGAGACGTGTGTAACTGTTTGTCTTGTTTTCATCAGTGAACTGATGGGGTGGTTGGCTGAAGTGTTTTTCATCCGTCCTGCTTTGTGTCCTTGGTTCTCCACAGGTGAGCCGGGTGGGGAAGGACGCTCAGGTGGGAAAAAACGGCGTTCAGAAGAAAGACTGGCACGATTATGAAAGGATCAGCAGAGACGCGTCTCGATCTGGTGAGTCCAAACTCTTTGTTGTCATGTTCTTCCTCTGCACATACACGTTGAAGCAGCCGGGGCCTAGATCCTCCTCATCTACAGACGTTTGGTTCTTCACAAATGTCTCCTTCTACTCCATACTGAGTGCAAGTTTGCTTCTTCTTGGTTTAGGATGTGAACAAGGAGGAAAACGGTCGTTTCTGCTCAGTGAAACTTACACGTCTGTAACTGGTTTAGGTTCTTTCTGTTCTCTGGATTCTTTAGCAACGTTAACCTTTTTAAAGAACAATAAATACATTATCTGCAGCAATTCACTCATTAGTCTCAAAGAAACAAGTATACAACAGAAATAAACTTTTTGGTTATTTTTTCTGCTTTGTGTTTTTTTAACCCTTATTTACATTTGTGTGAAATGGCTAAACAAGGATGGATGGATGGATGGATGATTTATAAAAACAAAAAATAAATTACTGTGCCATATCCCCTTTTATTTTTATTATTCTTTAACCACGGTTTTAAATCATATTTAAGATGCTGAAACTTGTCTTCTGAAAAAAGACCTCGGCGTTGACGGTGTCTGATAAAATAAAATTGACCACAAACCTTTTCTTTAAGACACTCCCAACATTTGAGCTCGCTCCTCTTAGTTCAAACGGTTTAAATCAAAACTCAGTAAATTATTTTCAGGCCCTGCTTCTGTTGTGTTCATGTGATTTAGACACATTTTAAGAGTTGTGCACACCGAGCGTCTTATCGATGCTCTGAGGTTGTGTTCTCGTTGTGTTCCGGTACTGACGGTGGAACGTTCTTGGGTTTTCTGCAGGTAACGGTGAGCAGGGGAAACCGTTTCCTCTGACAGACGCTGACAGAGTGGACCAGGCCTACAGGGAGAACGGCTTCAACATCTTTGTCAGCGACAGGATCTCGTTAAACCGCTCCGTCCCGGACATCCGCCATCCAAAGTGAGTCATGTGTTTGTTTGTTTGGGTTTTGTGGAAGAACACAACAAGTAATGAGTTTTCATGTTCTTTAAACTGCAAACAAACCATGTTGCAACAATCAGAAACAAGCTTTGACTTTAGGCTCTTCTTGTCACCTACAGACAGACAGACCTGTAGAGTTTAGAACCCATGGGGGTGACATTTTACTGCAATTTGAGATAAAATGTGTGCGCAAAAAATCAACAGGTTCTTCCCTAAATGTCCCAGTCGGTATAAATGACCCGATTTTAAACTAGGTCCATGTGACTAACTCTGTAAACAACAACCTTGAGATGTCAATGACATCATTTCTAATATTAGAAAAAGGATTTTCTAAAGGATTGTACTAAAACTTGAAATACAACTTACTGACTAAACGCATGCCTAAAGAAACTTCCTGAAATTTATCTTTAAGAATAAAAGTGTCTTGTTCAACATCTTTTGTTTATTTACGAGCAGAAACTCAGCAGTGTTTCTTTGCACAGACTTAAATTAACTCTGGTCTATCAGTGAAATGATGACCAAACTCACAAAAAGGCAGACAAGCCTCGTTTTTCCACTGAAAACATGTTTGTGCAGATTTTCCTGAGCTCGAGTGAAACTGAACCACAGAAGGACCAAAAATCAGCAAAGGCCAAAGATCTGCAACTGAATGATGCCCCGTGGGAAGTTAAGCAGTTATTAATGGGAAGTGAAAACCAACAATTAGATGCAGACAGAGCTTAATTTGTAAACCGGTTGATGCCAGGACGGAGGTAGCAGGCAGGGGTGTGGGGGAGGGGAGTCTACACCTGAAAATTTTTAATAAAGTAGATGCCATTTCCTGCATTAACATCTACGTTTTCCTACATTTGTAAACACTCATTCATGCAGCACTCTACTAGATCTGTACAAATTATCACATTCATACACTGATGGGACACACAGCGGAGGCAACGAGGGGTTCAGTGTCTTACCCAGGGACACTTCAGCTTGTGACTGCTGGTGGAATGGAACCCCCAACTTTTGCATTGGAGGACGACTTCTCTAACCACTCAGCCACAGCCGCCCCCTGTAGACCAAACCAGGAAACTGTGGAGCAAACCAGGAAACTTTTGACTAAAGCAGGAAACTGCGGACTCAAACAGGAAACTGCAGACTCAAACAGGAAATAGTGGACTCAAACAGGAAATAGCGGACTCAAACAGGAAACTGCAGACTCCAACAGGAAATAGCGAACTCCAGCAGAAAACTGTTCCCTAAAAATGATAAAAATGCTTTAAACTGAAACATGCCATTAGTAGCAGTATGGCTCATGTGATTTATCTTTATCAGCTGCTGCTGAAATGATAATGTTGTCCATTTTTGTATGTGTACATTTGTTTGTTAGCAAAATAATTCTTGAACCTCTTGATTTACGTTATTAGGACACTAGGTGTTCATCACCCACTGGGTATATTGTGGAGTCCATCATCAACTTTAGCAAACACAACATTGCTTAAAACTCAGTAATTTGTACAGATTATGATCTTTCAACTTTCATAATCTAAACTGCTGAATTCTTGGTTTTTAATTTGTGAATGAGTTCTCTGCTGTTTGTCCATGAGGTTGAATATCTTGTTCTCAGCAGAGTGATGCATGGACACAGATGCTCCAGAGACACATGGACATGTGCTTGCTGTTTGGACCTCTTCCAGCTGTCTCTGACTCATTAAAGAACAAAATACTGAAAATAAACACACCAGCAGCTCCTATAAATAAAACTCTGTAAACATCTTCAGACCTGCTGACCCGATTCGTCACGGATCAGCCTTCAGCAGTTTTCCTCTACCTGACACATGACAGGTGCCTCTTCCTGACCCCGCCATCACTTCCACGTAGCACGATGTTCTAAACAGCCTCTCTCTCAAGGTTTCTGCTGTACGTTTTATTTTTTCTCAGATTCATGAATCTCCCACGTTCCACGACCTTACGAGGCTTTTGCCATCAAACACGCTTTTCCATCCTCCGCTCCTCCACCAGCGTGGCATCGCTGCAGCGCACTCCATCAAACGAACGCTCGACAGAAAGTTCTTTTAATGTTCCCACTCTGCAGCTATCAGGGGACCCAAGTTCAGTCTGGAGAAGTGATGTGAAGTCAAACTCTAGAAGGAGTGAATGAAAAGCATCCAAAGTTAAAAGCTTGGCGTGGTTTGTTCAGGTTCAGCTGTGTATCTGTGGAAAAATGTTCCTAAATGTAGGAGGAGCTTTCAGGTTGCCATTTGTGACACTTCTGGGGTTTTTTTTTTATATCTTTGAAATCTTCTGGAAATACTTGTGCTCACAATTTTTATTATATATTTTATACTAAATATATGAACTATAAAAAATCAAATTGCTCATCAAAACTTTGGTATTTTAGTCTTTTCACGCAGATGAACTGCTGATGAGTTTTGACTGACAGTTTTCTCTCCAGGCCTGTCAGCGTGCAGCGTGGTTACATCACCCTCTCGTTGACCTCCAGTGCTCTTCAAAACAGGAAGTGAAGCATCTTTTTAACGTGTCATATCCTCTTCATAAGAGCTGCTCGCTGTGCAAGAGTTTTAATGACACAACTTGTAGTTTTCAGACACAAACTGTACGAGGTTTACTTTTCAGTGCGTTTGTCTGTCAGACGTTTATCAAGGAGTAGGAGACGCAGGTGTGTGGTTACCATGGTGATCCTGCTGAGGCATTTATTTTAATCTTCTTTTACAGTTAAGACATCAAAGCAGCAGCTTTAGATTGTTATAAAACTGATGCTGTAGATTCTGGACGCTGTCTTGGTGAAATTCACACTGTTGTCAAACATTGTATCCAGTTACATCAGTGTAACTCCCTAAAAAACATCAGTACAACGCCCTTAAAACGCCAGTATGACTCCCTAAAAAACATCAGTATAACTCCTTAAAATAAGCATCAGTATAACTCCCTAAAAACATCAGTATAACTCCCTAAAAACATCAGTGTAACTCCCTAAAAAACATCAGTATAACTCCCTAAAAAACATCAGTATAACTCCCTAAAAA